CGCGTTTCAAGTGATGCAAAACCTCGTATGTGAGGTTGACAAAATTTGATAGGAGCGAGTAAGTAATGTCGTATTTCAATACGGTTTTCTCTTTTATCCCTAATTATCTCCACCTTTTATTTCCAAATATCGATATTTGGGTGTAAATAAATACGGCTTGTTGCCATTTGCATGCATCATTTTATAATACACAACATGTAGCTTAAATAAGTAATTAAAATGAATTAAATAATATACTGTATTGGTAAATATTTTTTTTATTTAGCTATCTTTTTTAAGATAAAGGGAGTAGTTTTACGCTAAGAAATGTTTTTAAGTTCAAAAAGATACCTTTTCTTATATTAATAATAGACTAGTGAACACGCATGGCGCTAAAACGCCTAAATTTAGCTAAAATTTTTGAAAAGGTTGTAACCCTATTCAAAAACCTAAACAAGTATTCAAAATGTTATATTTAAATCAATCAAGCCGATGCTGTGTAAAGAGAGGTCAGAAAAATCACACTGTACCGCTAAAAAGGTTCTAAATTCAAAAATAATACCTTATTGTACATCTACAGGACCAGTTCTTTCATTTGACATCTAATTTCCTGATATGGATTGATTAACTCCCCTTTCATCTTTTTCATTTTGTATTTATCCTATTTTCTTTGGAAAGCTTTCTATTTGTTAGCATTCTAGAAATTGGTTGTAACAAAAAACACACACAGGTAAAAACCTGCAGTTATAAAACTCAGAGTATATAAATGTGATAACCAGAACAACTTTTTAAAATAAATTATATTTCACTGAAACCATATGGAAGTAAAGCTGAATTTAACTTAGTAGTTTTTAATTGTTTATTAGTGGTTTTAACATTTTTTACAAATTTGAGGTGCCCTGTCAAATATATCCAGAAAGCTCTAACTTTTGAACGATAAGTTTTCCCCAAAAAAAAATGTATATATATATTTTTCTCATTTTCAGGGGGTTGACTTCTCCTTATATACTAGCTTTTAGATTTTTAGCTTACCGTAAAGTTTTTTTCGACGCTGAATGGGTTCAATTTCAATTTAATTTTTTCAAACAGGTGGCAAACCTCTTCAAACACTTCAAAAATATTATAAATATTCAAACTTAGGATTTCGTTACACTCTTTCGTTTGACACGCATACATGTGCTAATATTTCATATAAATTGTGTATTAATTAATTACGTACGATTTTTCAAACACATGGCAACCCTCTTCAAAAATGTTCAATCTACTACTCATTCTGTATCACGAACGATAGGCAAAACGAACGATTCGTCTGCAGACGACAACCTCTCTGATTGCGATTTTAAACTCTATCGGTCGCCTTCGTCTTGCTTTTCATACATTACGTTGCAATGGTCTCGGTTGCATTTAAACCGGCTAAAATGATGCCGCCGAACTAATTTTTGAGGCATTCCTCTGCAGACGAATCGTTCGTGTTGCCTATCGTTCGTGATACAGAATAAGGCTGTAAATGTCATTAAAACTTAGTACTTAGATCCTGAGTACTTGTGTCAGAGTGATGATTGGATCAGAGTATTTTTGAGCACTAAATACTTTCGGATTCTTTTCTGAGCACTCAGTACCGATACTTTTAAAAATCGGGTACTGCCGATGCTTTTGAGGATCGAGTTCTGAGTACTTTTGGTATTGTTACTGCCCAACACTACAACGAACATGGAAAGAAAACGCGGCTAGAAATTCCCTACTCGGACGGCTGCCTTCAACATGTAACCAGCAGGGTGGTGAATTTCCACCTAAGCACCTTTTTAGTTTTCTATGTCAAAATGTCTATGCCTATGTATCAAAATACATATTTCAACTCAGCAGGTGACAACACCCCTTTATGTGGTTTCAAACCCATTTCGATTGAAGCCCATATTGTGCTAATTGATTTAGTTTTATGAATAATTTGACTTTCATTTTTTAAAAGGTGGCAAGCCCTTTAATTTGAAACGTCACTTTTGAAAATCGAGAGAACTTTGGGATCTGATGATCTGGACAAAACATCCTAGGCCACCCGTCTACCTCCTATAAAATGGAGGGAAATACTTTTTTTTTATTGAAAAACGCAAAAATATGGCCTACCAAGTTGGGGATGCTCTTATCTTTTGTTGGTAGTACCGACGTCCGGTTCCGCCCAAAGGTGGGTTAAACTGACCGTATTCTGCGCATAAAAATCACATCTTTGGTCAGAAACTTTCGGTCTGTTTAATCCACTTCCGGTCTATAGAAGATGCATCCTCGATAGGGTAATTCATATTTTTTCCCATTTCCGGTCGAAACAGGAAATCGGTAATACCACCAAAAGATTTGGTAGGCCATATTTCTAAGTTTTTTTTCAAAAAATAAAAAAAAACATTCCCATCCATTTTAGAGGGAGTGGATGGGTGGTTTAGGATACCCTGTGTATACGCAGTTTTCTTACATACATATAAACATATGCAAATATACCAAATGTATGTAGGGTGCACTACAACAACATACATACATGCATACGTATGTACATACATATTAGGGTTTGCCTCTGAAAAACTCTTATATAAAACTGAGTGGTTGTAGAAGGACACTCCTTAATTAATTTCCATGCGCCTGCTGAGCACAAAAAAGCATAAATAAAATGCCATGCAAAGTGTGAAAGTGGCTGCCGTGCCCTGACAGGACAACTTTTAGAATAGAAACAACAAGCGTCTAGCATAGGAAGAGTCATTGCATGTGGAAAAATGCTGACTTTAGAAAAATGTTTAGGAACTTTTGCTATTTAGTAAGGCAGTAGAAGTCAGCGTAGAAAGTTACCGAGTAGTTTTAAGCTGGAAGTATGTTGTGAGTTATATTTTGCATTTTGTTATTAGGCCAAAAAATAACAAGGAAAAAAATTAAATTTTTCAGAATAGTAAAATCTGCATGAAATTGAAGAGTTAGCAGCAGTAACAAAACGAGATGGGTAATAAAGTCGCTACATTCACAGAACAACAACTGGACGACTATCAGGTGTGGATTTCTTCGAAATACTCGTAGTATTAAATTGGTTGTGCTGTTTCTAAACAAAACATTTTATTTCATTAACTGTCTACTATAAATGCGCTTAAATTGAATGGATTTTGAAGGATTGCACATTTTTTACGCGGAAGGAAATTTTACGGTGAGTTTATATGAATGTAATTCAGGATCCAAGTGGTTATAAGAATATTTAATAACAATGCGGACAGCAAGAGCGCTTTTGAATGTGTTGATTTTCGCTGAACAATTGGTCGCTTGTCGGTACATATTTGTGATATCAAAAGCCAAACGATAGAAAACCTTGTATTCGCACTTTTCAACATCACTCGAATTTTCGGGTATTGTTGCTAGAGCCCGTTTAAAAATAAAAGCATAAGTACTTTATTCTAAATTTATTTACTAGTGAATGCCCGTAAATACTTCAATTAGAAGCCTAGCCCCTTCCCGCTTATGGGAAACATTTGCTAGTTTATCAGCCGTAAGCGTATTGAAACTTCCTCTATATATGTAGGACCTCCTCATTGTTTAAATTTTCGCTTGAAGGCTTGACTCGCCGCCAGTTCTGAGCAACATACCACAGCTTCCACGTCTGTTTCCTATTTACTATTTGTGCTTCTTACACCTTTGTGCCAATCGACGACCTTTGAGATCATTCGTGTTGTAGGCCTTGAACGCTGTAGTCTACTCGATCGGAAAAAA